AATGATGGGTGCGTAATGTAGCACACGATGACTAAGAAGACATCTCCACACATTTTTTAAAAGTCCAAAAGTTCTTTCGATACAATTTCTTGTAGATGTGTGACACTGCGTATATCTTGCTTCTGCGCTTTCTGCTGCTGCATCTGTGATAGGTGTCATCAGCCAAGGTTCCAAACCGTAACCTGCATCGCCTATAATGAAATAGACATTTTTATGTATATTATTAGGTAAAGAAATATAAAATAACAATTATTATATTTACCCAAAAGCCATGTTGATCGATCTCCGGAATCATAAAATTGTTGCATAAAATCACTTACGGCAGAATATCTCCATATAAAGTTATCGTGGACACTTCCAGGAAATCTGGCATTGATGTTTAAGATTTCCAAATCGTGTGATGCTATCTTATTATAAATAATACAAGCATTAAGTTTCTTTTTGAAATGTATTTAGTACATTATATATTATGTATTTCTGTTGTAAGTCTACTTACTGCCTGAACATTAATGGAATGAAAACCTTTATGGTTTAAATATGATTCCTCGTGATGTGTTGGTCTTACAATAGCAACATGAGTGCAATCTATGCAGCCTATTACTCCTTTAAAATTTCTTTCCTTTTGAAATCTGTAAAAACATATTGTAAACAATATCATAAAATAATTATGGCAAAAACTATAATTCAGTTTGTGTGTGTGAATAGATAATTTTTTTATTTAAAGTATTTTTAAGAAAATATCCGTTAAGAGAGTAGTGTGCAATCATGCATAAATTACTTCAATTTCATGTTAGTATTATACGTTATGTTTTCTTCAGAAAAATAATATTTGTTTATAGCCAGAGTTAAATTTTAATGGTCTTTTATAATTGTAAAAGAATATTACCTTTCTTTTAAAGCTGCTCGTTTTTCATTTGTATTTGGGAATTTGATCCACTCATTGGCAAGCAATTGTGTAATACCCATCGCTACTGCTTTTATTGCTCTGCTAGTACCTGGTTGTGATACAGATATCAGGTAATCATTACC